ATTGCATGGACTATTGTTTTCTATCGTTTCATTTTTGGTCTGTGAATTTCTTTTTGAGTTAAATATGTTTCTTGAATGCAGCATATTGGTTAGTCTTGCTTCTTGATCCATTCTGCTAGTCTGTCTCTTTTGATTGGTAAATCCAGACCATTTACATTGATGGTTAAAATAGATATATATTGGCTTATTTTTGTCATCTTATTTTCCTGTTGTTGGTTCTCTGTCTTTTCCCCCTGTTTAATTGCTTGGCCTGCCTGGTGGCTTCTTTCTATTGGTGTTCTTGTGCTTGTGGTCTACATTTTCTCTTTCTATTATTTTCTCTAGAACATTTTGAAGAGCTAATTTGGAGGTCATAAATTTCTTCAGTTGTTCTTTGTCATGGAAGTATCTTGTTTCTCCATTGATTTTGAAAGATACTTTGGTGGGGTACATTAATATGGGTTGGAGGTTGTTTCCTTTTAGGGCTCGAAAGACATCCCTTCAAGATCTTTGCTTTGAAGGTTTGTATTGAGAAGCCTGCTGTGATTCGGATGAGCTTTCCTTTATAGATGATTTGTTTCTTTTCTCTAACTGCTTTTAATATTCTGTTCTTGTGCTCAGTCTCTGGAATCTTGATTATTATATGCTTGGTGTAGATTTATTGTGGTTATGGCTGTTTGGAATTCTATATGTTTTATTTATTTGTATGTGAAATTCTTTGTCCATGTTTGGGAAGTTTTCTGCCATTATTTCTGTGAAGAGATTTTTTTTTTTTTTTTTTTTTTTTTTTTTTTTTCCGGTACCGGGAACCGAACTCACGACCTTGTGCTTGCCAGGCAGGTGCTTTGCCGCTGAGCTAAATCCCCAGCCCCTTGTGAAGAGGTTTTTTAATGGCATTTGTGCTGTCTTCAGCTTTCTCATTGACTCTAGTCAATATATGTGGTTGTTCTTTGCTTCATCTTGCAGCTGTTGGATTGACTTTTTTTTTATGGTCTCTTTAATTATAGGAGCAAATTCTACAGTTATATAACAAAATTTAACTTACATGCAATGATTTTCCCCTCAGTGGGGTGATTTTACCCTGTTGTGGGGTGAGGGGTTTAAGAGGAATAGGGGACTAAGATAAATGGATGAGGTCAAATATTGTAGAAGCAAGGCTAGAGGGCAAAGGATGATCACCCCAATTTGGAGAAACTGGAGGACACAGGAAAGAAAGAATGAAAGACAAAGTAAAGGAGTATTGAAGTAAACCAAAAAGAGAAGAGACAACGTTCACTTATATGAAAGTATAAAATCAAAAGATATTTGAGGAAAAAAAGAGGAGTGGAAGAAAACAAAACTAAATGTAAGAAACACAAATAGTGAAAAAAAAGACAAAAAAAGAAAAGGAAAAAAATGAAAAACAAAAATAAAAGCAAAACAAAAAGAATAAAAAAACCCCAAAACATCCCTCAACCATACAGAAAAAGAATGACCAATCAGAGAAACAAAGAAAAATAAAAGTAGTAAAATTCTTCTGCTGTCCACAGTTCTGTCATAGTGTCCAAGTCAGATCTCAGAAATGTGCTGTATATTCCAGCCAAGTTTGCCATGGGATTTGTACTGTGTGTGTGGGGGATGATTTTGGCCTCTGAATATGGGAGCTGGGACTGGTTTTCTGCTGCTCAAGTTCTCCCAGAGCCCTATTGACATGGCGGCACATCCTGCCTGCTTCTGTTCCACATGTCTGCACCAGAGCACAACAGTGGTTCACCTAACTTAACTGCTGGTTTGTAGTCTCACTGCTGCTTCAGACTTTTCCACACTGCTGGTCCCACCTGCTGGCATGAGCACCCATGCTTGGGCCTGCTCTCTCTGGTCCTCCTGCTGACATGTGCCCATCTTTGCTTTTAAAAACAGATTTTAATAAATTTCCATATCGTTTAGTATTTAGTAAGATGATTGCTCTGAATAAATTTGCCATTGTTGCTAATCAAAACCCTTAACTCAGTGTATCATCTCCTGAGCCTGATGTAAGACTATCCTCCAATATCCTGATGTAAGACTGTCTTCCAATATCCATGGGGTAAGCACACATTTAATGCTTGCAAAGAAGACATAAACAGAATCATAAATTTAGCTTTCAGTTGATTTCAGAATGGGTATTTCTATATGTAAGGCCAAAATGAATCTTTAGAAATATTTCATAAATTAGTATAAATTTCATAAATTAGTATTCTTTTAGGTGTATAGAATGCAAATAGCCATGAGCATTGCATTAAGATATTTATTGTATGGCATTAGCACTGTGCTGTGTAGGATATTTATTGTACAGCAGTCAACTAGTTATCTTTCGCATAGACATATTTGCTGCAGATTTTGGTCAGAACTTGATGACATGAAGAACGTGTTTTTGCATGGCTCTATGAGAATTGTTTTCATAATATTTTACTTTCTCTTGAGAGTATCCCATGCTGCATTGTCTGGTGTTTGATGTAATACAGTGACAGGATGCCTATATGGTAGATTGTTAACTGTAACAGCAAATCAATGGCATCCATGTTGTTTTCTGGTTCCCTCTCATGGTGACCTGGGCTTGACTGTGTGACTTTCATTGGCTGTGCTTCAAGGGAAAGCTTGATAAGTCCTTGTCCGTGGGTTCCTCCGTGGCGGTGTATGAAGAACCTGATATGGCCTCTTCATGGATAGAAAGACCCCTGGCAGTAGAAGCCTCACTCTTTTAGTTCAGTACTGCACCCCCACTGGCCCACTAGCTGAACATAGCTGCATGAATGGTCCCAGGGGAGCGATTTGTTGTTTGAAGCAGCAACATAATTGTTTGACTTTGTTATGTAGCATTACATAACAGAGGCACTTACTATACTCATGTGTCCTTCTTGTTTTTTGCACATCATTTGTAATTTTAAATAACACACATGATTCTTAATGCCTGTCTTATTTTCCTTCCAAAATGCATTTTAATTATTACCTACTGAACAATTAAGCAGCAAAGGCATGGCAGAGGAATTTATTTAATCTATCATGTAATCATTGAATCAATTCTGTGGGAATTTAATGGAAAATAAAGTTACATTTTAAGCTAAGCTAACTTCTGTCAGTTTTAGACTCTATTTTAATGATGCTGAGATGAGACTTGTGACCTTGCACATGTCTTGGGGCCCTGTGCATGCTAGGCACATGTTCTACCACTAAGTTACAGTCCTAGCTCAGTTTTAGAGTTTTTGTATTGCTTCTTATTTACAGAGATTGATGGTTGCTGCTCTGGCTGGCTCTGTGTGTGTGTGTGTGTGTGTGTGTGTGTGTGTGTGTCGTGGTGCTGGAGATTGTGCATGCTAGGCAAAACTCTACTACTGAGCTACACCCCCTGTCCAACTGTAATGTTTTATATGTTCTCTATGAGTTAGGGCTTGTGAAATCCTGTTGCAGAGCTTAGCATAAACAATTTATAGGTCAGTTTGGCTCATAACATTTAAGTAATATAAACTAAAAAGCAGACTTTTAACTGTATTTTTGACAAAGCCATATAATATAAAGTAGTACAAGTGAGTTACTTCAAACTAAAGAAAAAGGTTATATAATATATTCTATTATAGATGGTTTTAAAATTAACAACTTTTGTTTAAGTTTTAAAAATCAAGCTATAATTTGTGTACACTTGTAACTAACAATATTAAAATATTTCATCCTCAGTTGTGTTTGTCTTGTTGGTGGAAAAAGCCAACTCAGAAAAGGCCAACTTCATGGATTTATTGAATTAGTGCCAGTGTTGTCAGAAGGGGAAATAGCAGCAGTTCTCTATTGTATAAATTGAATTACTTCAACTAATCAGGCTTTTATCTTGCATGTGTACATATTATTTTTTGTGGATTTGGTGAGCCTTTTTAGTAATACTAGTAGTCACAGTATTTGTGATATGGAAGGAGCACAGACTTTGGACTCTTACATGTTAGGTGTTCCATCTTGAAGATGCTACTCACCAGTCACTGGCCTTTGCATATTGCTTGTCTAAGCCTAATTTCCTCATCAGTAAAACAGGGGCACTTTGGTGATTTGCATCTTTAAATTCTGTTAATTCAGAGATTTTTGGGTCGGGGATAATATATCACTCTGATGTATCTTGTTTGAGAGAAGCATGATTTTAGAGTTACCACACGGTTCCCTATTTCTATGCATTGTTATACTGTGAAGAATACACTTAGTTCTTGTGCATCACCTACAAATATAAAAATGTATAATTTGCAAATTGATTATGACTGCATGGAGTACCAGCAACAAAATCTCCTAACATATTTAATACAAATTTTAGAGATTAGTGTTTTATATAAAATGTATTACAGGAAATAGAAACAAGCTATGTGATGGTGCATACCTGTTATCTTAGCTATTCAGGAGGCTGAGACAGGAGGACCTCAAGTTTGCAAGTAACTTAACTGAGACCCTGTCTCAAAATAAAATAAAAGGGGCTACCGGATGCAGCTTAGTGGTATAGCACTTTACTTTTAGGCACAATGCTTTGGGTCCCATTATCAGTGCATACTGGGAAGAAAAGAAATCTTTAAGTGTCTGTATTTTCTAACTTAAGTATGTTTAAAATAACAGTTTTAGGGGCTGGGGATTTAGCTCAGCGGCACAATGCCTGCCTGGCAAGTGCGAGGTCGTGAGTTCGATTCCCAGTACTGGAAAAAAAAACAAAAAATAAATAAATAAATAAATAAATAAAAGTTTTAGGTTTTCTTACATAGCATTTTTCTTCTTTCCTCCTTCCCTTTTTTTTTGTTTCTCCTCCTCCTCCCTTTTCTTCACTTCCTTTTTTAACCCTAGGTACCTAATTTTGATTTCCTTGGGAAAATAGTAATCTTACTTATATAAGTTTTTAAGAGACATCTTTGATACATTTCTGTATGTATTTAATTTTGACACTGATATGGAATCATTGTTAAGGATGCTACTACTGCTGGGTATTAGAAATAAAACCTGTAGGACTATTTTTATTTTCAAATTTATTACTTCTTTCTTTACAGAACATTAGCCCTGATTAAACCAGATGCAGTATCAAAGGTTGGAGAAATAATTGAAATCATAAACAAAGCTGGGTTTACTATAACCAAACTCAAAATGATGACACTGTCAAGGTGAGTTGTTGATCATTTTTATGAAATGTTATAAAATGTCCGGTTCTTTTTTAAAAAAGCATCCATCTTTCCATCATTTTTTCCAAAAACAACCTCTCATTAAATAGCATACAATAGTAATCTTATCAATTTGAGCAAAAACGCCACATAGTCATATATAAATCAGTGAAGTCTAAACAGTTAGAAATATCAAATTATACAAGCCTCATTTAACTATTTTCTTCTGTAGCCAGATCTACTTTTATAACACCAATGCTTGGTAGTTGTACTTTCTTCCTCTTTGTAATATATAAGAATAAAATACTGTTTAAAAAGTATAAAAGAAAAATGAATGTCTGAGTATTTCTGTTTGTTCACATTCCCAAAAGTGTTGCATTTGAAAATGTTTATATTAAGCTCCTCTTAGTATATATAAATAGATAGATATTTGTTTGCTACTCTGAAAAGTAATCCAGATATCTAATCAGACATTTTCGAAGTTATTTAGTGAAAACAAGACTTATCTGATTTAACCTTTTTTAATCACAAAGTAACTAACTCTACTCCCATGGTATGATTATGTTTCCACCTTGGGAATTGCATGGAAAATATTCACTATGTTCAAATAAAGAATAGAGAAGTAGGCCTACCTTGTTGTCAGTCTTTTCTCAGAGTGTACAGAGGAAAACATGATCCTTCCATGCTGTTGGGTATTTCTTTTAAAAAATTTCCTATCAAGTAGACAAGGCAATGACTCAGATACTCCAGAGGATGAGGAAGAGAGGTGAAGCATCTATGAGGGCAGAGGCCTCTGTTCCCGGGGATTACGCTGAAGTTGGCCGAGGGTGACACGGTAGCATGGGGTCTGTAAGGCCATGAGTGTTGCACTTAGACTGAGCTGGCTGTGGTAGTATTCTTGTATTTCTTGTCTAGTTTTTTGTTTGGTTTTGATCAGTTGTCTTCTCACTGCTTCAGAAATCATGTCCTCATAGATGTCTATTTCATGAGTTAGTTGCATTTGTGTTTCTGTGAGAACAGAGACAATGAATAGCAGTAGACGTTCAACCTAACTCCTAAGTGTGATCCTAGAAACTTTAGGAAAATACCTTTAACTTTACCTCTATGATGACATATGTTTAATTTGAAATTTTCTCCTGTGTAAGATTTCCCTGTTTCCATACTGTCTTGAGATACAAGAGGCTTACATTTCAGAACAGAGCCTGTAGCCATTTACCTGTAACTGTACCACTCCTGAGGTATGAGTCCAAGCAATTCACCTGTCCTTGTTTCTGCAAAATGCAGATTATAATAGCACTTGTAGCCTAAAATTTTTACAAGGGTTGCATAAGTTTACTGTCTGTATGCCTCTGGTGTTTGATAACTTAGTTTCAAACTTCCCTTGATAGAGATGCTTTTTGTCTATCATATTGGGTCTGTAGCACATAGAAGAAGCTGCTGGAACCGATCACTGCCTCAAGAGCACCATAAAATGTAAATTTGATAGAATTTCTTTGAATCATTGAGGCTTATTACTTCTATCCAGGTCTTGTAAAGCTCTTCATCCGTGGAGTGCCACTAATATAAGCCCATATATTTATTGTCCTTACACACATTCACTCCTTTGTTTTGTGTACCTTTCCTCTTAGTCTGACCACAAATCTATTATCAAACCCTTTTTACTGATGCTTCTGGAAGTCTTGTCATTGTAAACAAACATTCCTGTGTCCACAGTGCTCCTTAGTCCCCCCTACCTCTTTGCTTTAATTTAAATCTGATTCTTCTGCAACAGCATCCCTTTCCTTTTAGGTGGTAGTGTAGGCTGCATATTCATAAGTATTTCTTGTCTCTTAGAGACATACTATAATGTTAATATTTTAGCCCCCTTTGCAATCTCTACTCTCTTCCCTGCAGTGTCATTCCATTTAGCTAATATTGCCAACCGCTGAGCCTCGTTTACATTCATCGATCACAAACTCTGCATTCATGAAGTATTTGAACACTTAGCTTCTAATCTCTCTCCTCCCTGACTTCTTCGGTCAGTAGGAATGTTCAGCATACCTGTGAGTAATCATCCAGGACCCCTTGCTCTGTAGACAGTTTGCCTCCCCATCTCTGTGACTGTTACCATCATTTCAGTAACTGCCATGACTACATCTTTTTTCTTAAAGTAGCTATTCCTCCAAGTTCTATGCATATTCTTTTCTTTATACTTTCTCTGGGGTTAGTCCCATATGTGGCCATATCATCCCCTATATACAGATGAAATTCAAGTACATATCCAGCCCTCACTTCTCTTTACAACCATCAGTCTGAAAGTGATGCTGGATTCATCCTTCCATTCCTCCTATCTGTAATCAATCAATCAATCTATCTATCTATCTATCTCTAATATTTAAGTCTTTTTACTTCCCTTTTCTATACATTTCTGGGACCCTTTTCCTTCTTGCAGTTCTCATTTTTATGGACCCTGTTTAGGTACTCAAAATGTTAAAATAGGCTGCTGGCTGACTTGCCCACTTCTAGACTTCATGTACTGTACTGACACTTGATGGGTTATTTCCTGCCCTAAGATCACTTCGTTCTACTCTCTATATTATTAGCATGAATCTTATAAAATGAAATGTCACCGTCCCCTTCCCTTAAATCTTTCAGCAGTTCCCCATCTGTAGGAAAAAATAGACTAGTTCTTCAGTGAAGAAGACAAGGCCCTTGATCATCTGGCCTCACTTACCTTAATGGACTCACCTCTTGGCACTTGTAGAAGCTGTTTGGGTTTCATTTCCCTGAACAGGCCATGCTTCATCTCACCTCAGTTCTCTTATGCATAATTTTGTTCTGTATCAATGTTCTACTTTTTTTTTTCTAGTCCATTTCTATTCATTATTCAGGCCTAACTCAAATGTTTAATTGGGATTTAATTGTCACAAAACTTCTTCAGTCATTCATAGCATCTTATGCAGTTTATAAATTTAGATGTTGAGTCTGTGATTTTACTCAGCTCCCAGGCTACTAAGGCACTTAGTTTGTCACTCCTCCATGCATGCTAGCAGAGACCAAGAGTCTGCTGGGTTGGAGACAAAGAACTTCAGCCCAGCAGTGTGCACGTCATGTTTGTGTTGGTTCCCCTCACCTCCACGTCTGTGGGGATGATGTGACCTGAATCCAGGTGGATGCCAGGTACACGTTGGACTACATCACAACTGAAGATGTGTGAAGTTGGGTTACCAACTGTGTCATCAGCAAGCAGTAAAGAAGATAGTGTTTGTGCTGAGGAGAGACTACTTCCATCCCTCATGGTTACTCAGGATAGACAACCGTGAGAAATGAGTAGGACAGAGAAGTCAGGGCCTTGCATTCTTGACCTACTCAGTAAGACAAGTTAGGAGCTTGAAAGACCCATGAAAGAGCTTCTCCCAATGCTTAAAGTCTTCTTGCACTTGTGTGCAATCATGCTGGTTTTCAAAAGGCAGGAGCTGAGTTCCCTCTGAATTTGTATTTCTTGCTCTCAAATCCAAGGGTGCCACAAAAATGCCATCAGGTACCACATAGCAACATGTGGGTCCAGGACAGTGATGGGCATATATTCACTGTTGGTTTCGTAAGATTCGAATGCAGCTGAAACATCTCCATCACCTCGTGATGTCAAAGCTGTCATACTGGTATGGCACAGAGCATTATCCACGTTTGTGGTAAAGCCACGGTTAAACAAACCTACAAAGTTGTGCAACAGTTGTATACAGTGCATAATACTTGATAATGATAATAAATGATTATACTTCTGGTTTATGTAGTTATTACACTTTTTAATATTTTAGAATGTATTCCCTGTATTTGTTTAAAAAAGTTAACCATAAAGCATTGTGCTTTGTTAAGACTGGCAGCAGTCTTATACATGTGTTAACCGGGTCTCCTGATTGCATCCTGAAGCCATGTTGAGGGATTGGCTTATACTATTTAGGTTTGTATAAATATGTTGTGATGTTTACTTAAATGAGAAAGTTGCTGAACAGTGTATTTCTTAGAATGATCCCATCATTAAAGTGACATGAAAAAATATATATATATAGTGTCAGTTATTGAACCCAGGGTTCTGGCACCAAGCAACTTCCCAGCACTTTTTAACTGATTTTTTTTTTAAATTTTGAGGCGGGGTCTCGCTTAGTTCCTAAGTTTCCCAGGCTGTGCTTGAACTTATGGTCCTCTTTCCTCAGCCTCCCAGAGTGCCAGTGTTACAGGTGTGTGCTGTTACTTCTAACTGACTGCCTTTCTTAAGATAATTAATATATAGATCCTTGTGAAAGAATGATGAGTTTCTTCATAAGTACATAACAAACCACCAGCAAAAATCTTCTGTAGATAATGATATACTTGTTAAAATCTATGTCTAAGCCTTTTAAGGGGGAATCCAAGAATGATGGGGGAAAATTTCATGAAGGCTCATCCTAGTTTCAAGTTTACACTTGGAATGGGGGTAATTATGGAATCAGGGCCATGTTAGGAGAAAACGTTTTTACTAATGTGGTAAGGTTTTTTTCATTGATATGAATGATTATGGTTGTTGTTTTCTTTTTAGTAGCTCAGTCTTTTTGTGTTGAAAAGGTTAGAGATGGTTATGTTAACACCATTGGGCTAATTCTTCTAGTTTACTCTCCATAGGAGCCTTTTAGACATTCAGTTTTGCTGTGTTACACTAACATAATATAGACATCCCTCGTTTTTGTTACTCTTTTCTGCATTGTCTAGATTTTTTCTTCCTGTGGTTGGTAGTAGAGCATAAACAATCAGATTAACAATCAGAGAGATTTGAGTTTAAATCTTCCTATCTTGCCCTTACTTTCTCTTTGACCTACCATTATATAATCATATTGAACCTAATTCTTCTCATATGTAAAGATGAAGGTGATCATATCTATTTCAATATGCCATTATAAGGAATAAATACAATAATTGAATTGTGACATATAATAAGGTCTAGAAAAATGAGAAGTTTCTTTCCCTCTCCATATCTTGGTGTACATTTTATTTTCTATATTGGCAGAGTATACTTTCATAGTCTGCTTTAGACAAAGGAAATTGAGTGCAGTGGTTAGAATCAGAGTATACTCAGGTATAACATGTTATGTGAATTGATTTTGTAATAGGCCAATAAGATCTTAAAAATATTGCATACCAAATTAATTCTTAAGCCTGAAAAATTGATCCTTTGTTAGCAAAGACTTCAACTTATTTGCTATTTAAAAAACTGATATTGACATATATTTGTCACATACTGTGAACTCAGTTTAAATTTTTAAAGAAACTACACAATTTTAAGAAGATACTGGGTTTGCTTAAAATAGAAAGCAAAAGTTCTTTAGACTTTTCTGTTTATCCATTTGAAGTACATTATCTTTTTATGGGTCTCTATAGATACCTTTTAATGGAAATATAAATTTGAAAAGTAAATCCCTACTAGCATTAATAAAATTAATTACCATTAATTCTGAATTTTTAATTTCTCCATGTTATTTCCTTGATTGTAATTTAAAACATTTCTTTTTAAGTCATTAATAGCCAATAGGAATATATTCTACTATGCATAATTTGTTAAGCACCTTTTAAGACAAAAGTATATAGTTTTCTATAGCTAAGAATGCAACTAAAACTACTAAATTAAAATTGTAGTCAAAACTCTCAAGGTTAGAATGTATAGAAGAAAATGACAAATTTTGAGTTAGGCTTTTAGTTTAACAAATATTCTTATTGATTAAATGTTAAACTTTGTTTCTAGAATTTTAAATATGCTGGTGAAAAGGAAGTCAGATAATATCATAACACAAATTAAAAGAGAAACTACTTATATTACAAATGTGTACTATAAAAAAGATAAATAAAAGAAAAATAAATACTTAGCTGGGCATGGTGGTGTATGCCTGAAATCCAGCACCCTGAGAGACTGAGGCAGGAGTATCACAAGTTTGGGCTCAGCCTGGGCAATTTAGTGACTTAGTGAAGCCATCTAAAAAATAAAACAGTAAAACTAGGTGGGTATATAGCTCAGTGTGAAGGCCTTGTGTTCAAATCCCCAGTTTGGCGTGGGGAGTAAATACTTTTAATTTTTGTTTTCTATTTTGACATAGGAATCACATTTGCAAATCTTTAAAAGGAGGTGGGTTTACCAGACTACTTGGTGAAAAATCATTAGTTAAATAATTTATAGATGAAATCTATATCTATCTATATATATAGAGAGAGGATTTCACCTTTATTTTAATAATGTAAACTCAAATAATTATTTTCTTATGTAATTCTCAACTATTGTTGTTTGCTTGTTTTATAGGAAAGAAGCAGCAGATTTTCATGCAGACCACCAGTCGAGGCCCTTTTACAAGTAGGTACTTAATTGGGAAGCCATAGTAGTCATTAGTGTAGGGTGTCCTAGAAAACTAGGTATATTGTTATAATTAAAAATTTGTTACAGGAGAATATTCTGTCAAAAAGATCAAAATAACATCTTGCAACTTAGAATTAAGCATTTTTTGCTATCCTTGTAGTAGATAAGAATTCTTGTGTCTCATCATTACATATACCAACTCTTCACAATAAATGCAATCATGTACAACAAACATGTACTAATAAAAGTCAAAATAAAAAAGAAACAAATATGTTAAGTTATAAGAACTAGCTTTCTTTTTAGATTATAATTCAAATATAGTGATACACTTTTATTTAATATTTATTGTGCTTTTAAAGTCTGTTTGATACATATTTTGTTACTTGAGATACAGCAGACATGTGTTAGAAAATGAATCTCTATTCTGATTACTTGGGATGTAACTGAAGTGAAGGGACTATTGTGTATACTCATTACTATTGACAGGTAAAGGGGTGTTTGCAATCTAATAAGGAAGAATATTATTTTAACCAAATTGCTACAATAGACATACTAATTAGTATTTTACACAGAATAATGTTTAAAAAATCATTATATAAGAGAATTACTATGTTATAGATTATTAGAAATCAAACATTATAACATATTCCCAAGCCTTGTTAGAATGGATATATAGCAGTGATGGAAATTATTCTGGTTATAGGTTCTTTGCATGTAGTTACAGCAGTGAGTTACAACTCATACTTTAATGTCTTACATGTAATTTATATGCTGTGAATTTTATTAAATGGATAAACTAGTTGTCTAGTTGGTTTTCTGGGGTGGTCTTTGGGCAACTAAGGTCTAGCAGAATATTTCTGAGGAGGTCTTGTGGTCCTCTTAGCGTAGAGGGTAAGAATGCTTCTTTATACATTTTTTTTTTTTATAAATGTTCTTCAGACTGAACTAAAGTGTTTAACTATCAAAGGCTGTTAGCTCATTGAAAATGGGAAGAGAGGGAAGAAAGTATGTGAAACAGTCATGAGTTGACAGTCACAAAAGGACCCAGCACACTATATTCCTTTCTTCAGAAGCATCTTGTCCTCTCTACTTTGGATGAGACAGAAATACGAGTTACCCTGGAGAGCACTTTATTTCTGCTTAACCCAGCAAGGACGGGTCCACTTATTTCACAATTAAATTTGTCATTGCTACCTTGTATGCATTTAGAAGTGGACAAAATAAAAAGAGGTGTCATTTTTTATTTCCTGGTCAACTGGAACTCAGTGCTGGGTTTTTAATCAAGAACCTCTGTGTATGCTTTAATAATTTAATAAGAATGCCCCAGAGTAGTTTTTCTACTAATTATTGAATATTTTTTGAGGGATTATTGATATCATTTTTATCACTAGGTTAACTCAGTGTTTATTAATTGAGAGTTCTTTGTCACTCTTTGAATTTAATAGTTCTACATAAAAAGAATTAAATTCTTACTAAAAATGACACATCATTTTCATTACTTTGTGTATTATGAGATCTTGCTTGAATGCAATGGTGGACCACTTGAAAATAAAAAAGGAATATAATTCTGGATTTTTTCAGAGCAGTGGAAAAAGCAAAGGAAAAAAGGAAGACTATGCATTTTAAATCAGTAAATCAGTCTTAACAAAATAGTGATTTTTCCTCTGTAATTGATCGACATTAGTAATATAGTGATTTATAATGAATTGGATCACTATAGGACCCTCAATGCATGAAAATTTTATCTTGCTTGTGTAAAATTTGCTTATGCGTAGTAGTTCTGCTTCTGTTGAAATGCTCAGATTTACATACATCCTTGTTGTTACAAGAAATGCCTAGGTTGACAGAGAAGCCAGTCAGTCTTTTATCTGTTTTATAGTGAGCTGATCCAGTTTATTACAACTGGACCTGTTATTGCCATGGAGATTCTAAGAGATGATGCTATCTGTGAATGGAAAAGGCTGCTTGGCCCTGCAAACTCTGGACTGGCACGTACAGATGCTCCTGGGAGCATCAGAGCCCTCTTCGGAACAGATGGGATAAGAAATGCAGCTCATGGCCCAGATTCTTTTGCTTCTGCTGCCAGAGTAAGGTGTTTTAAAAATATTTTACTTTTGTTTTAATTTTGTTAAATGTTTTATATCAAAGTAAAACATTTGACCTTTGACCTTTTGCCTAGGATCAAATAGTGTTTTGTGTTTCTTTTATGAATGGGTATCCTGCACATGATCAACGTTAGTTTTCTATAATGAAAATACTTGTTATCCCATGTTTTATTCCAAAAACTTAAGTTACTGAGGCTCATAAATGTTTGAACCATTGAATTCATGTAGGAATACTAGTTTATGGATAGTAGATATTTCTTAAAAGGTGTTGTTGGGTACAGTCTTTCTCCAGTTTGGAACAAATACTGAGTAGGCATCAGAAGAAGTATGTGGCTGGAAAATGCCACATATGTAAAGGAACAAGAACTATGGGTCTTAACAAAACCTTAAAAACATCTATCGGCTCCCAGCAGCCTCCCACTGGCCTTGAGTTCCCCTTAGTTACTGTCTAATCTTTTTCCTTCTCCAGACTTCACCAAACAAAAACTATTCTCGGTATTTTCTGCTTCTCAGCTTCCTTTGACAACTCACTGGGAACAGTTACTACAACTTGCCTTTATCTTCATCATCTTACTGAAACTGTTTTGGCTTTTGGCTAGACTTAATTTTGAAATCTGAGGAGAAACATTCATGTCTTATCTGACTGTATTTCTCTGCTACATTTGAGAATTTGCTTGAGACCTTTCCTCCCTTCCTCTCTCCCTCCCTTCCTCTCTTCCTCCCTTCCTCCCTTCTTCCCTTCTTCCCTTCTTTTGTTCTCTTTCTCCCTTCCTCCTTTGCTCCCCTCCTTCCCTCCTCCCTGAGTCACAGTTGACCAGGAAATAAAAAATGACACCTCATTTTATTTTCCCACTTCTAAATGTATGCAAGGTAGCAAGTTCTGGAATTACAGGTGTATACCACTATGCCCAGCTTACATTTTATTTTGAGACAGGGACTTGCTAAGTCTCTTAAATTGCCAAGACTAGGCATGAACTTGTGATTCCCCTGCCTCAACCCCCCAGAGTATGGGATTATAGGTACATTTTGTCACAACATTTTATATGATTTCATATTTCGTTTTTTAACATTTTAGATTATTTTCTGAGAACAGATTTGGAGTGACTTTTTTTTTTTTTTTTTTGGTTTTTTTCCGGTACCGGGAACCGAACTCACGACCTTGCACTTGCCAGGCAGGCGCTTTTGCCACTGAGCTAAATCCCCAGCCCCTGAGAACAGATTTGGTATTTGGCATTAGGAGAGTGTAGACAGAAACTTAGTTATGGTTTTTGCTGTGTTCATGTGAGAAATTTACAAAAATAATATTTATTTAAAATTACTCTGTACGAGTAAAAAATTTTGGCCAGAAATTTTACTCAGAAACCATTTAACAGTATTTTTATTATTATTATAAAAGATATTAGTGTAGGTTGGTCAGAGGCCCCTTTGAGAGTACCATGATTTATTGGGATAAAAACTTATAAAGCAGTGCAACTGTGTATTTTATAATTTGTTGAAAAAACCACATACTTACAGCTTATCAAATTGAATCTGAAATTTTAATTGTTCAAATGTTATGAATACAGTATTTATCCTTTCACTTAGACAGTGTAAGGAAATACAAAAGGCCAAGAATGATATTGGAACTCAGATCACAAAGACACATAAGCATTTTTTTGGGGTGGCTTTATATTTGTTGTGTGAAGAGTTTTAAATTAGTTGCTATAAGAAAGACCTAATAAAAATGATCTTGCAAGCATCAGCTTCAATTAATAGATGGAACAGGAATAAAAGAAAAAAAGCAAAGAAATAAAGACAAAAATAGAGTTTTTCACTTTTATTAAGAATATTCACTTTTATTAAGAATATATTTAAGTAAAACTTTTATACATGTTGCCTTAAATAGGCATTCATTCAGCATATGCAAATGAGTATTTGGAAAGGTGACATTTCCATTTTTACAAATTAAGCAAGAAAAGAATTTGGACAAGCAAATAGAAATGAAAATAATTGAACAAGTAATTAGTTAAACATTTGATATTTTAGAGGTAGAATAACATAGCATGGCTTTTTACTTTGGAAAAAGATGACAGAAAAAGTTTAGAGCTTTGAATTCATAATTACATGGATTTGAACCCTCACTTTGTCACCTGCTAACTTGTAAAGGGTTGTTACTCTATCTCCACCCTCCCCCGGTACCGGGAATCAAACTCATGACCTTGCACTTGCCAAGCAGGCGCTGTGCAGCTGAGCTAAATCCCCAGTCCTGTTACTCTATCTTAAGTCTCTTTTTTTTCCTCTTTTGTAATGTGTGGATACATTTATTTTATTTAGCACATGCGGTTTCTGAATTTAATTTATTCCAAGAGAAACTAGTAGTGAATAAAACAAAATCCCTGGTCACAGAGTTTATATCAAATAAGAATCAAGTAGACATCTGAATATATTGGGTGGGAAGTGCTCTGATAGAAATAAAAGCATAGAATAGGGATAGAAAAAAAGAGGATTGAAGGACTGTATGTTGGCATAAGTATGAGCAGAGTATGACTAAGTAGAAGATGTTCAAGAAGTCCTCATAATCTCTGATTCAAACAGAGATCTAAAGCAAATAAGGGAGAAAACCATGAGTATATCAAGGTGTACAGAACATTCCTGGGAAAAAGGGAACAGTACATGCAAAGATTCAGAAATGGGCCTATGATTGTTACGTTTAAAAAGCAGTGAGGTGGCGCAGCCAGTAATGCTGGTAGAGACGGGAAGAGATTATATCAGAGGTATAGCCCGCAGGCAGATCATATAAGGCCTTGGGGAACATCTAAGAACTTTGAAATTCATTCCAAACAAGATGGGGAGACCATGGAGCTTCTATATGAACGAATGACAGAATCTAATATATTTACAAGTTTCCTTCTGACTGCTGTTCTGTAGTAAGAATAGATCACACCGGGTCAGTTTCATTCCTGCAGTGATTGTCTGCCATGCCCCTTTAGTTGAATTTAATCTGTACAGTGAGGTTCTCTAAAACTATGTAGCCAAATTGATCAATAAAAGTAAGAAGATCAGCAATACTACAGAGGCAAAGTTGATGTCTAAAGAATTGGACATTTTTATTTTGCTCTAAAATGTCTTATCCTTGGAATAGCTCAAGTACATACATTAGTATTTGAACAATTCCTCTTGTGAGATCTCCCACCTTTTAAAAAAGCATAATCAAGGCTCAGGATGTAACCTAGTGGTGGAACACTTACCTAGCATGCACCAGGCCCTGAGTTTGATCCCAAGCACCACAAAAATAAAACATAAGTAAATATTCATTAGTAGGCCATCTTAACACAGTCTATGACCTTTCAGTTTGAAATTTAATGACAAATTAATATGTAGGTTGAACCAGGCATTATTTTAGTTACTAAAGTTCTGCAAGTTAGTTTCTTTCTTCAAAGTTATAATTGGCAGAGGGCAAGTACTTGAAGTACCACCACGACACTGAGGGAGGACCAAGTCCTGTCTGGAAGCCTCAGGAAAAGCCTCGTAGAAGACAAGATGTTTGAAGTGACCTTTTACACAGTGGCAGGGGTTTCATAGCTTGGGCAGAGGGCTTTATAGGGGAAATAATAATGCTGTAAACTTAAGGCAAGAAAGCATCTAAGTAATTAAAAGAACTGATTAACGTGACTAGTTCAGATTGCTGGGTTGTGATTTTAATGAGTCAGATGCAAAGCAGCACAGCTTGAGTCAGCATATAAAATATAAATATGGTTCATTTCATTTGACTTATACTATAGTAAGATTAGTTTTAACTAATTGTAATTCTCTGATTTCTAAATGTTAATGTTTCTATACAGATTTCCTTTTTTTTTCTTTTGCTGAGATTACAAGTATGTGCTACCATGTTCTTCAAGATTTCCTTGTTTTTAATTTTATTTTATATAATTTTAATGAAAAATTTAAAATTGATCTAAGTGTGATAGTACCTACCTGTAATCCCAGCAGTTTGAGAGATTGAGGCAGCAGGATCACAAGTTCGAGCCCAGCCTGGGCAATTTAGTGATAGACCCTATTTCAAAATAAAAAAAACAAAAGACTAGGGTTGTAGCTCATTGTGAAGGCCCTGAGATTAACCACGGGCAGCACATTTTTACAAAGTTAAAAATTAGATCTGTTTCTTACGAGCTTTTCTTTGGGGGAAATAAGAACTTTGTATTGATCATTTCCAATATTCAAAACTTTTTAAGACCTTGTCACAATCTGGAACAGAATGTCCCATATTTCCATTGCTTTAATATCTCTTTATTTGTTCTTTTGATTATAAATCTTGAAATAGGGTTAAGTTAATAAGTTTTTGTAAAACTCCTATTTAGAATATCTGAAGCAGAGACTTTATGTTATGAAACTTTAAGGATAATTGTATAATTGTATTATATATTTTGTAAATTCAAGAAAAGGGATTATATGTGTCAAAGTCTTTTCTCTCTGTCTTTAGGAAATGGAATTTTTTTTTCCTTCGAGTGGAGGCTGTGGACCAGCAAACACAGCTAAATTTACCAGTTGCACCTGCTGTATCATTAAGCCTCATGCTGTCAGTGAAGGTGAGTGCTGTGTTGAATACACTACACCCAGTGGGTTTTGTTTGGAGGATAGCTTGTTCTGTTCATGTTTATTTTCTTGATACATTTTACACAATAAAGTATACATTTAACATTTAAATTTGTTTCTCTTGAGGACACATGAATAAATGGAAAATTATAAGGGAAATGTCTAAATCTCTATCTCTCTTTGTGTATCTACATTTTAGAAGGTGTTCCATGGATTGCTGATCATAGACCTGCTCACTTGAATCTTTGATTTTGAATCTTTCTCTGGGCTTCCAGTCACATGACTGTGATTCACTTAGCTTATTTAAATGGCACTCCTAATATTTTATTGAAAACAGTGTCTACCATGCCTGAGAAACTTCGAGAAAAGCTGTGACTGAGACACACACACACTCACACGCACACAGAGAAAGGGCAAGGGGACTCAAGTTTTCGCTTATTTTTAATCTCAATTTCCTTATCTATTTTAGTCTGTTGTATGTATTTCTATCAGCTATCCCCAAATTTTAGAAGCGAGATAGAGCATAATTAAAAAGACCATCTTTAAAAGATTACAATATACTAATAATATACAATATAATATATTCTTAAATTTTATGTTTTCTAAGCATCTAAGTAATTTGTGAATAGAGTAGAAAACTGAAAAATAAAAATACATTAAAAAGAGAGCAACAAAAAATTATTGTATTTTATTATCCAGAGATAGTCATTTATTTATTTATTTACCTTTTTATTTATTTATTTATTTATTAGTTTTTATTTTGTGGTACTGGAGATTGAATCCAGGGCAGGCAGTCTTAGTTCTGAGCTAGATTCTCAGCTCAGCCCCTTTTATTTTGTTTTATTTTACTTCGAGACAGAATCTCTCTGAGTTGTCTGGGCTGATTTTGAATTTGGGATTTTCCTGCTTCAGCTATCTAAGTATCTGGGATTATAGGTGTATGCCACCATGCCCTACCATTGTTAATATTTTGACACATTTCCTCCAGATGTGTGTGTGTAGGTGCATGCACTAAGAAATATAATTGTTAACATTGTTGATATGCTATAGGCTATTGCTTTAATTTTTGTGAGCTCTTAAATTTTTTGTCTGCTCTTAAATCTTTGTGAATATTTTAATAGTTTATTTAATATTTAATACCAGTCATATGAATGTGGTATAATATTTAGATACTTAGGTTGTTTCTAGTTTTTGACATTGAAAATAAAGCTTTGAAGGATATCTGTGTACGTAAATATTTGATGAGATCTCCAGTCATTTCCTCTGGCTAGTTTCCTAGAAGTAAAATTATTGGTTGAATAGAAATGAACCTTAAAGATCTGTTGCATAATTAATACTTATTTAATTATTTAAGAAGTGCTTAATATCTAATAGATCCTTAGGACCATAATTATGAGGAACTTAGATTCATGCTGGGTAACAAACATTTATGGAGAATTACCACTATGCGCCAGGTAGCAGCCAGGTTGGAATCTTATACATTATCTCATTTAATCTTCAAAGCAAGGATGTCAAGTAGGTAGATATATCATTCTTTTCCAGGAAAGCAAGCTGAGGTTCTATGAGATTATGCTCTCTAATTTAGTGTAGAAAACCCAGGATGCAGACTGTGTTTTTTTTTTTATTTAACATTAATATTCTTTCCTCTAGATGCATTGCCCCAAGAGCAGAAAATCCAAAAGTATAACACTTCCACAGGGAGTAATAGCAATATAAACGTTTAAAAATTTGTGAAAAAATTTGGGATTTTATGTCATATTCACACACAACACATACCTCCTTAAGTAAGAAAAATGAGTGTAACTTAAGATCTCAGGTTTTTAAAAAATAGATTATACACACATATATGTGTATACACATACAGCACATGCGTGTTGGAATGTGATGAGACAAATTCTTAAGTTCTCAACTTTAAAAAAAGATCTTTGTCCTCTTAGTATGTTTTACCTAGTTTTTTATCTAATTTAATCTTTTCTAAAAAAAGTGATAGTTTCAAAAAGGCTGAAACAAAGTGGAAGTGGAATAAACAATAGCTACATGCCTTAATAATTATGCAGATAAATATAAACTCTAATACAATGATAATGTGTATAAATAAAAGAGAAAGTCAAAATGAATTTTATTATAATTTTTATATTTACACAGGTTAAAATCATTTAAGCCAGGCACACCTATAATCTCAGCACTCTAAAACAATTCAGTGACTTAATGAGACCCTGTCTCAAAATTTTTTTAAAAAGGGGAAGGGACTGGGAGTATATCTCAGAATGAAGGCCCTGGATTTAATCCCTAGTACTACAACAAAACATTTTCAGTCAGAGCTTTACTTGGAAGATTAACTACATTCCTTTTTAAGGTTTTTTGGTGGTGCTAGACATCAAGTTTAGGGCCTTGCATGTGGTAGGCCAGTGCTCAACCACTGATGTACGTTAGGATATACATTAATTAAGGGAAAACAATTTTAATAGAATCTTTTCAGATGGCTGAATCAACTTCAGCATTTTAAGGCTTTGCTTTTCCATTCCTTTCCTTTTCTTTCTAAACCTAGATTTCAGGAATACTAAGACACATTTTGAATTATATAATTAACTCAATTCAGATTAAGCCATGGCTAAAATGAAGTCCAGTTTGAAATCTCACATTGAATTTGTAGTGATTCCTTTGATTCCTCTCAATTGCTGGTTAATGTTTATCTTTTTCTTTAATGATCCCATCTTCTGGTTTATTTAATTTTACCTGTGGTCTTGTACAGGCATGAACGATGAGATTTAAAAAAAAGGATGGGGGAAGGTTGCTGATCAAGTAACTGAAATAGCATCTGATGACTGCTGACTTCCCCCCACCCCAAAAGGCCAGAGTAGCCTGTTGATAAAGCAAAGCTAAGTTTATTGGTTACTACAGTAAGGAAAAGCACAACCTTGTTGACATCCAGACTCTACAAGGGAGAGGTCATAGGTCAGTATGGCAGAGTTTGGGGTCTACCCTTGAGAGGCTTAATGTGAATCTTTGAGTGCGGTGGTCTGGTTGAGACTGGGCACAGGTCATGGTATTGTATTTGGTGGAAAGAGTGAGTCAGGGATCTTAACTATGACTTGTAAATATACAGGTGTTTGATAAGTGAGTTGTTTGCTCAGTTGAAGGAAAATTGTGAAACGGACTGTTTGAGTAGTCTGTTGTGGGGTAAAGGGATTTGGGGGGAAGTTCCTGAAGCAAACAATGAGGTTATTTACTGATTTGTATCCTTATCTTTCTGGGCCTGAATTCCTTGGCAAGAACAGTAATCATGTGTGTGTAGGAGTCTTAGTTCTTAGTCCTATACCAACTCTGTGTGGATGTAGTGGTTTCACTTCTCACTTCTAAGGGGGATAAAAAAAGAGAGAAACCTTTGTTTGTGGAGTAAATGGTGGGGAAAAGAAAGCGTATTTGAGGAATTTGCAGTGTTTTTAAATGTGCTGATTAAAACATACTGTATTGTCATTTTGAGCCTTAGGCTTAAAAAGGACAAAAAAAACCCAGGTGAATGCTCTTGTTTTCTTTTTTAATTTTAAAATTATGCAAGATGTTTCTTTTCATGTGTAATTAATTCCATCCATAAAATGAATAATTTTATTACTCTGAAATCCAGCTGTGTAGGTTTAAATTCTTGCTCTGCAACTTACAAGCCATGAATATAGTCTTTTGCCTCTTTGTACCCTCTTGGCTTATTTGTAAAATGAGAATAATAGTATATTTTCATCATGGGATAACTGATGATTAAATGCATGAGTACATGAGCAGTTCTTGGGACAGTACCAGGGACTTACTGTGCTATGTAAGTAAGTGTTAGGCCTTACTACTGTTCTAATTAATACTCTATTTCTACTACTGCTGCTACTAACATTATTATCTTTTAATGTTTAAGTAAAATTGAATGATTTCCTAGTAGCAAGGCAATAGTTTCAAATGCTAAGGAGAAAATCAGACATCCACGGGGGAAAACAAATTCCTAATCATTGTCTAAGAGACAGGTGCTTATTTTTTCCCAGGTAAAGCCTAGGTCTAAGTTAAGTTCATGAACTAGGATTATTGCTTACATTTGGTTAATTCTGCAGCTGTTTGTGAAGGCCTGTTATGATTGGTACTGGACAGGAGGTGGCAGCCAAATCTGCTTTTGTACAAACAACTTAGCCTTTAGAAGCTTTAGAACCTTGAACTTTGTAAGAAATTTTCCTTTCTTGTAACACATTCATTCATTAAACAATTTTATTGCATTCTTCATTGTATAGTCTATTCTGAAATTCTGTTTCTTCACCAGTCAAATGAGTCAAGATGCTTTAAAAGTTTTGTCTAGGGCTAGGCTTTAAATCCAGATAATCTATTATGCTGTGAGACTGGTTGAAAAGCTATAAAAATTCTCATCAGAAAAAAATTATATTTTGTCTCTCAGTATATGCTTTCTGGGGGATGGGGATTTAGCTCAGCGGCACAGTGCCTGCCTGGCAAGTGCGAGATTGTGAGTGCGAGATTGTGAGCATGTATATATATATGCTTTCTATAAAAATTAATTTTTCGGAAGAATGTCTTAAAGCAATTTTAGATTTTTAAGGTATGTGGAGACACTTGGAGGTTGTTTGTATGTAGTGACATAGGAAGCAAATTAGGCATTAGAATCTTGGACCATTTATTTTATTTTATTTTATTTTTGTCTTTTTGAGACAGGGTCTCACTATGCAGTTCAGGTTGGCCTTGAGCTCACTTTGTAGCCCAGGCTGGTCTTGAAGTCGCAAGGATCCTCCTGCCTCAGCCTCCCAAGTGCTGGGATTACAGGTGTGTGCCACCACATCCTGCTTCTTGGACTATTTATAAATTGGACACTGGAATTGGCTCTGAGGTACTGATTGAAACACAGCTGTTAGCAGCAAGGTCTTACTTATGTAACTCCTCACTTCTTAAAATTGGGTTGTTCTTGCTTAGAGCCTCTTTCAGAATCTTAATATCTACCTTAAGTCTAGTT